TGCTGATCCAACGTACAAGAGTAGGATTATCGTCCACGGTTGCTTACTGAACATTTCACAGTTATTGAGGACTAGCAATAAACTTGGCCGTGAATTGAACTTGCAAAGCATCCAAGGCCCCTCGAATAATAACTTTGCGGTTTGTATCGTTTTATAAATATATGTTTGGTCAGTTCCCTAAACTATGGTCGAGTTTGCAGTCTGAAAGTGCAATTTTATAACGTATTTCTGCTTAGTACCGCGGTAAAGTTACAATTACATATTCAGTAATCTATTTAAAAAATAAATAACCCCATATTAGGAAGTAAATTCTGATTGGCTACTTGCACCCTCTTATCAACCAAAGCTCTCGGACATACCTGATTTCTAGACCATAAGCTTTTGACCTCTGTTCAGTTCAAAAGTCCTAGTATTCTAAGTTCAGAAATTAGTCTGAAGTTAGACTTTTTTATAGAGATGTAACGTTGTTATGATAAATTTAGTAAAACAATTTCTTTGAAATCTCCAATTGATTTTGTTGGTCTGAACGTTGGAGGAAAAAAAAGAACTATTAACCAGAATGTCTCAATGGGGTTAACCGTTAGCCGTAAAACGGCCTAATATATCCAGGTTTACTCTAATTATATCAAACTATTGAACAGATTTGATGAAATATAATTGTGATTACTCTTAAATAACACGTTTAACGACGTTCCCTATCTCCTCACCAAATGTTATTAGTCTTTTACTTCCTCGCCATTTGAAAGATCATTAAGGTCATTCCTCATGATTTTTTTTCAAAACTTTCCTCAAGTTTCCTTTCAATGTCTGTTTCGAAAACTCTAATAAAAAGGTAGGTCACAGTGCAGTAGTAGTATAGTACATGAGGTAATTAGACCATTTCAAACTGATCCCATGAAAATTGACACTTTCTGTGAAAATTGATCTCATCAAAAACTGATCTCATAAAAATTGACCCTTTCAGTGAAAATCGATCTCATCACCAACTGATCTCATAAAAATTGACACTTTCAGTGAACATTTCAGTGAAATCGAAATTCAAAATGGCGGATTCCGGGATCTGGCTGGCGTATCCAATCTGTTGATAATCACTACCTGAATACTGTCATATATAATCCTACAAGGGGATCTTCTTATATTCAACTTCCACCAAAACTAAGGCATCATAAAAAAGGATTGATCAATGTGAAAAATACGGATAATGAGTGCTTTCGTTGGTGTCATATTAGATACTTAAATCCACAAGAGAAGTGTCCTCAGCGGATTAAAAAAGTCGACAAAGCTTACATACAAAAATTGCATTACTCAGGAATTGAATTTCCAATAACTATTAAACAAATCAATAAAATAGAGAAGCAAAACAATATTAATACCAATGTATTCGGCTATGATAATAAACAGTGATATCCAATATATGCCAGCAAGGAGAGAAATGAAGATCATTTGAATCTTTTATAAATAACAGAAGAGAAAAACTCACATTATGTAATAATAAAAGATTTCAATAGATTTATGTATAACCAAACGAAACACAAAGAGAAAAAGCACTTTTGCATGTACTGTTTGCAGTGTTTCAGCTCTGAAAAGGTATTAACTAATCATAAAGCTAATTGTCTCATAATAAATGGAGATGCCGACTAGAGATAACAACATATTGAGATTCAATCATTATCACATGGAACTACCTGTACCATTTGTTATCTATGCCGATTTTGAAGCAATAACAGAAAAAGTACAAAGTTCTAAGCCAGCTGATTATGAATCTTTCTCTGAAGCTTATCAAAAACATACTGACTGTGGATATGACTATAAGGTTGTTTGCACTTGTGATGATAAATATATAAAACCTATTAAAATCTATCTTTGTGAGAAAGCTATTTACAAATTCATGGAACAGATGCTTGAAGAGGTAAAATATTGTAAAAACATTATTAAATCCAAATTTAATCAACCTCTAAAAATGACAAAAGAAGATGAAGAAAAATTCCAAAAAGCTGACAAGTGCCACATCTGCGAAGAGAAATATACTGATAAAGTCATTGGGGTTAGAGATCACTGTCATTTGACTGGAAAATACAGAGGTTCGGCTCATCAGGATTGTAACCTTAATTTTCGGATCAGTGATAAAATACCTGTAATCTTTCACAATTCGAGAGGATATGATTCCCACTTATTATGCAAG